CAAAATAAGCTTCTAAACATTGTACACACAAAATCTCCTTTATTACATAAAACATACAACTGCCTTTATATGTAAGTGTGGGGACTAGTTGCGTGTCTCATTCCTCTAGAACAGGTAACTACAATAGTTATGCCAGTAACTTTTCCAGCGTGCATGCCTCTCTACTGACAAAACAGACATTGCAAAAAGCACATCTTCCCGAATGGAAGCAGCAGGGAGATTTCCCTGCCATATTTCAGCATGAAGTATTCGCCTACAGTCCAAAATGAAGCCTCTATTTTACCCCGTGTCCTTTTAGGATGCTTTATACCTGGATTTAACTGAAGCTTTCAAATGTCATCTCTCTCGTCTTGTTCTGTAGGCTCTCTTTTAACTCGCTTTCATGCTGTCATTCTATCTTTCGCTCCACAGTCAAGGTGGGTGTAATATTCTTCCCTTTATTTATGTCTCTCTGCTTTTACATGTCCCCACTTCAGTCTCTCATACTGCCATTCATATACTTTAGAGTAGTTAAAATGCTACAAAACTTAAAACATTTCTTGCTTTTGTGAGTGAGCTGAAGGATCATAGTTGAAGTACGTGGTTTAGTGATGTTGCTCATAGAAAAAGGTGAAGAGAAACAAACAGATGATTTTAAATGGTTAATGAGCTAGGAAAAAGGGTGTACAAAATACTTTCTTGAAGCTTTCAAGTTTGCCACTGGCAGATAGGGTTGTCATAGAGAAAATTCATGGGCTGGCTGTGTACTAGTACTGTTTCCATGCTACTAATTAGCTGATGCTTATTTCGTCCTTTCCCCCTCCTTTTCTGTTAGCTACTTGAGCACTATTTTCAGCTATCGGAAATGACATAAAATGTTAATGCTGAAGTTCTCCTTTTAGCTAAAGTTTTATGGAGAATAAAAGAGCAGACAAGACAGCTCAGAAACCCTCCAGGCATATGTAGCATCCCAAAAACATTTGGTTTCCATCTTCAGCTGCAAATTATAGACAAGACGGATGTGTTTTAAACAAAAAAAGGTCTGTTCGACTTCATTCTTGCAGAAATGCTAATACTGAACCACTGTCAACTGCGTGAATCGAGAAGGGGACAGCCAGGAAACAGAATTTCCCTAAGAATACTGAGATCCTGGTAATTAATTCATAAAAAAATCTACTAGTTGAATAATTTTTTTCTTGTGTTGCTGTTTAGCAAAAATACTGAGCCTTGGATTTTTGCCTGAACTCTTTGGAGACAAAGCATTATTTTAATATTCACCATACAGATGTCTGAAGGAAAAGAGAGACTATTGCTTAGGTGTCTTTTTCTCTTTTAACATAGCCATAATTCAAATGCAGACTGTTTTGCAGACTAAAAGTAATAATTTGTTAGTGAGTAGGAACATACACAGACTGCTGCTTCCTGGAATTGCCAAAATTCTGTTTTCTAAGAAACAATGCTGTTCAGCATGCAACGTACTTACACTTTTCAAACATCCCACAAAAAACTAGTCAGTGTAAGAAATAAATTGCTTTGTTTATCAGGTTCTAAAAATACTAGAAACATTCTTTATAATACAAGCTGTATGTAATAGGTTTGGCAGGGGTGTTATTTATTCTAGGAGTATGTGTCCCAAATTTTCTACAGGTACTTAGCACCAATTTAGAAAACAACCCTGCTCTGACTCCACATTCCGACGGAAATCAGTCTCATGACATCTAATGCAATTCTGAATCTCAATAAAAGGATGCAGCAACAGTGAAACAGAGCATAGGTGAAATTTTCAAGAGAGTCTAAACTGACTTAAAGTATAAAAACAACTGAAATTAAATTCAGATAGTTAAATTGTAAAGCTTAGTTAAATTATACAGCTTATTTTGGCAATTTTACTTTCATTTCAAAGGGTATTAGACCTTTTAAGATCATACTGTTTTACACAACTGGACCTTCAGAGCAAAAAAAGGTAATTGTATTGATGTAATACATCATATTTTGTCTTCAGGGGCTTTTGGAATTGTATTTTAAAGGTGTCTATTTTTCATAATTGATGGATTCATATCCCAAGGCCTCCGTTTACAAGACAACACTAGATTCTACTTGTAGATTCAAAATTATACTGAATCTCTAGTGTTCTCGTAATTAACAGAACATATGAAAGCTTAAATCTTGTTAAGGTAGTCTTTAAAGGGCTGGAATACAGGAAAAGTATTTTATTGTTTTTAGGGCTGGAAAGGACAAAGCAACAACTATTTACAGCCTTTGTTCATATGGGATTTTAGAGTCTTTGGCAAGAGTTGTAGATTAGCCACAAAACACCTGAAGGATTTTTGAGGAAAAGTATAACATGGAGTTTAACTAGCCTCCTTTTACTGTTATTAATTTAGAATAAAATCAAGACTGCCATGAATTACCTACTGCAAATTTTATGAATTTATTTCCTGAAACTCCAGCAGCATAATCCTTTGATTACCACTTGGAGAAGTGAGATGTTTTAACTACTTCTACAGCCTTTTGCCAATGACTTACTATAGAATCATAGAATCATTGAGGTTGGAAAAGACCTCTAAGATCATCGAGTCCAACCGTCGACCCAACACCACCACCCACTAAACCATGTCCCTAAGTGCCACATCTACTCGTCTTTTAACTATGAAACATTAGGATATCATTTAAGCTTCAGTTCTGACTGAGATGGATAGGACTTGGGATCCCACTTTTGGAAAAGCTAGGAAGTTACAATGGCAATCATAGTGAGCCTGAACAACTACATAAAACTAGTGCTTTAATCACCACAGATAACACTAATTTAATCAGAAATTAACTATCTAAAAGCTAGGCCTCTACTCTCGTTTAGGATGATACAAGTCACTTTCTGAAGCTATTTATCTTCATTGGTTATTGAGAAAACCTCTGAATACTTCAGATAACGTGTCAGGCTTAGCGGATAAAGTTTGATTACTCTATATAAGGTATTACGGATCAGACTGTGACTGCATTTTAGCAGTAGTTTTCTGCAGTACATTTGCAAAATGAGTCATACTTGGCATGTGCAATTGCATCTGTCATGTAAGCTTGCTAAATGTGTCTGGTACAGTATCCAGTAATTAATGGGTTAACGCTCAATGCAATATTTCAATATCATACTAAAGCATACTGGAATATGTGCAATTGTAGCCTTGACAGAAGCAAAACAGTATCACGGCCTGCAACACTGCCAAAGCAAACGTTATGTAAAGGTCAGCTGGAAAGAACGTCAAGATCCAGTTAATTAGAACCACACGGCCAGCGCTAGCATACTGGGGAATGAAGGTTGTTCCTTACTGACGACGAGGTAAGCTTTGCTTCTTTGGCAGAAAAATGGCAAAACCCGACCAATATTATTTTTCTCTTGCCCTTTTTATTACCTCTGCAGTGACATCTTCAAATTATCATTGTGTTTGCTGAACAGGATGTGAAGTCCTGAATGAGTCACCTATAGAAGTAGGTGGCAAATGTAACCCAAAGCTAGAGAGGTGTTCTATCTTAATCTTAGTCTCCATTTTGGCTTGGCACAGAAAAAGCTAAAAACCAAACCGAACCAAAGCAAAAAAAAAAAAAAATCCAACACCTAAGATGGTGAGACACTGCTACAAAAAGAACATAGTCTATTTTTTCCGTAACATCTCAAAAATCCCTGCTTGCATAGTACTACCAGACAAGCTGCCATCTCTTCCCTTGGAACTTATTTCCTAGTTCTCATAATTCTGTAGGCAGAAAAGTGCAATGGTTGCTAGTGAGTTAGTGGAATTCACAAAGTGCTCTGCAAAATACTAATGAAAGAGAACATTTTCATAAACCCCCCAAAGCCATGTGCACAATGCACTGCATGACCAAGATAACTCAATACATTTAATGGATGGTTCTGTCCTCTGGGAATGAAGTAACTGACTGGAGACACATAGCATTTAATCTTCTTTCTTCATACAGTTCACCCACTGCCGCATGATGGCAATGAAAGAGGGATGGCATTGCAGTATCAAATTCAGGTTCAATTCTTGTGTTGTGTATTTACTGTGTGAGTGTCTCCCATGATATTTCAGTAATTTTGACTATGGGTATACAAATTTCTTCTATTTTTTTATATGTGTGTGGTCTGAGGACCATTACATTAATCAGGTTTATATATGTATTTGTCATTTTGTCTTCCCATCCATATTTTTAAGAAAAGAAAACACATTTGGTAATAAAATGAATGTTCTGTGGTTCGTTATAAGAAACAGCCATTTGACATTAGCCCTAAAGTCTTTATCTAACAGAAAGTTATTACACAAAAGAAAATGCTATAAAAGTAAGGTATTTAAACTCTCAGACAAATCTCTCCTGAGAAATATCTGCCATTGCCAAATATAAGTAACCTCCACATTTTCAACTGATTGTAAATTGAATTAGATAGCCACGTACAAGAGTTTCTACTCGCCTGTTCACCTCGCACCCTCCCCCTATTTTTAAACAATCAAGCTTTTCAAAAGGGAGTTACGGTACAACTACTCCTCATAATACAAACCAGGTTGCTCAGCATCTGATAGGGACCTGTCCAGTATCCACTTAGGAACTGGGCAAATATTACACATGTACGAATAATCCTGGACAAGATAGTTTAGTTTTACACCATCCAAATAAAGAGTTATTCTACTCACCCGGGGTACCTGGCTACTACAATGGTGAGTTACGCAGTAGCAGGCCATAAAAAGTTATGTAGAGTGTCTAACCTCTTATCATGCTTAGTCATCAGCAAGCAGGAACATAGGTGCGTATGTTGCACTACATACACACTGTATGCTCTAAATAATGTAATTTGAAAAGAAGAAATACATTATGCAGAATACTGAGAATTTCCCCAATTTATATTAATCATCAACTAGTACTTTGGGGACACAATATCTTATGAGAATTTTCCTACATTATGTTGGAAGAAGCAAGGAGGCATATGAAAGAGAAGAAAGAGGTTTTGTACAGATGTTACCCAACTCTTACTAGCTCACCTTTTTCCGATTAGCTAGTGACAAGCTTCTGTAGAGCTTCTTGCCTTGCTTGCCAGCATTCCAAATGGTGAATGATGTCCAGGAGCTCAGGACTCTGTCTTCAAGAAACCTGACTCGGTGATTCCAGATGGTTCCCCTGGAGAGTTAGAAAAAGGGTGGATTTTGACCCCTAAAGCTTTTAGCATTATTATATACCTATATGCATATGTACATACTCACATACGTATAAACCTGACCAAACTGATTCAACAAGATACAAAAAATCACACCAAAACATTGTACTAGAAATTTCCAAGGGAAATGTAAACTGTTGCTAGAAAAACAGAAATTCTGTGGAAGTTCTCAGACAAAAATCATTAGGATAGATTTGAAGCTGTAGCTAAACCACTATTATTTTCAAGAACCCTAATAGGAGATCACAGGAAGATGAAAAACTGTGGCTATGGTAATCGAATTCAGTACCGACAATTGCAACTGCCCACCAATACAGTTTGCCCATACCCGTACCCACCATACGAACTGCTCTATAACCCTGCAGTGCATACAGGCAAACCATCTCCTAAATCCAAGATGACCTCTTAGTGTTCCATCTGCCCGTGAATTCATTCTCCTTTGTCAATGCGAAGTTGAAATCTCACAAATTCAGTACTCCAGTCGACCCAAATATACAGCCCAGTGCTACAATGAAAGTCCATTTACATTGTGGTATTCGGCTGAAGTCTTCAGCGAGTCAGCTGAAGCTCTGAATCAGTGGACACCCGTACAGCAACAATCACGGAACTGCAAAATCACATGCAACACTGAAACTACCGGCTGTTACACACCATTCACACTTAGGAATGTGCACACGCACACTTCAGACCAAATAAAAGTTATTAAATTTAAAAGGTTCCAAAGTATTATTCAGCAGCAATACGAATGCGACTGTGCCTTTATTTGAAGATGAGTTTTATAAGAAACAGCATTTCTAGAAACAAAGAGCAGTGGAAAATTTTTCTTTTTTTTTTTTTTTGAAACAGTGGTATGCTTCATAAAACTTCTTAAAATATGCTTTAGAAAAAAAGAAAACTGGCAGATGTCTGTGTCCAATTACACCTTTATGTCTTTATATTTGTAATAAGTTCCACAATATAATTTAAGCCACGCAATTGAGGTAAAAAACTGTGAGACTAACACCAAATGATGAACCGCTTGGCTTTGGAAACAGTGACAAGGGAACACTTAACATCTTTAAAAACTGAAGACTGGGCGGGATCTTCAACAAGTCCAACATATGTTCTTGGAAAGAGGGGACAACTTGAAGGAAAGCATTTCATTCATGGGCCATTCATCCCAACTGCATTAATTAATTCACTTTGACAATTACAACTTCTTGTGTGTGTGTGCATGTGCACATTTCTTATCACTTTCAATTGCTTTTAAAACAGCAATTCCCACCGTATAATGTAATATTTAAGACTACTTCATTTACAGTGGTTTAAACAAAACTGCCTGCTGTTAAGAACATCTGTTTTATGTCCAGGGTTCATTTAATATTCATTAACTAGGAACCTATCTTATACTTAATAAATAGTTTTCTAGATACAGTAAATTGATTTCCTCAATTTATGGTGTAACGGATGAATCTCCGTAATCTACATCTCTTGAACAAGGCACCTTGAGCTGAAAATTTCTTTCATAGGAAATTCTGATAAACACCTAATTGCCTCTCCTTTCGGAAAGCATTTCTTCAGACAGGTTTTTCCATTTGCTTTATCACGACAGAACACAATATGCTTTATAACAATTGTTACAACTTGTTCTACAAATTGTAATACATCTTGTGATCCAAGAAATTAGATGCTGAAATTAGTAAAAGCATTAACGGAAAAAAACTAGTCATTTTCCTGTGAGATCCTAAAGCTGCCTATGGTTTTCTTTGTCTTGGGAAGCACATATTTTTTCCTACCAATATACCTTCGTCACAGTTCAACTTTGAGCCCCACAGTCTTCTGACTGTATCAAGTTAGTATGGAATTTAAACACCAAAATACTGAAAGAATATGTTATTTCCTCTGCTTCAAATAAGGCTTCCGATTCACAACTCAGCAGAGGTTATCGTCGGGCAGCTACAGCAAGCTACTTCGGGTCTGCAAGTGCAGTTTGCCATTGTACAGAAAAATCAAAATCCATTTAAGCTTCCTTGATTTAGGGATCTAAACTGTCCAGGTGGGTAGAGAGTCAGGAACAGGAACTGCTACAGCTATGCTGTTGCCAGTCGTTCTCATCAATGAATCAGACTGCTCCATCTCCTAGTTGCAGTTCTGATTATCCATAATCCTGTATGCATTACACCAGTTTTGGTTCTCTTACAAAACTGTAAATGCGTAAGTATGATCACTGGACATGTCTGATGATCTGGCATTACAGTAACATCTGACTTCTATAAAACATTTTCAAAATTTTCCTTTTTATAACGGATTATCAAATGTCACAAAGCCAAATTAATTCTTCTGAATTATTCTTACCTCTGAGGTACGAGTATAACATTTGAGGTTATTGAGGTTACTAACTTGCTCCCAAAAGTTTGTTAGCAAACTTTTCTAATATTTTACTGATAGCAATTTTGTGTTGTTCCTTCACATCCCTGAATTATGGTTTGAAAATCATGAAACCCTCATAGCACTAAGACATACGGATTCTTGCTGGGATTATTAGTTAGGTCCAGAGAGCCCACTTCACTTCAGCATGCGATTTTTGAGCACAGCCAAATCCTGCTTAGCACTTCACTATTGATTGTGGTGTGATAACTTGGAAAGAACTTCACACACAAATAAATGTACCCAAGAAGAACAGTTACTCCATATAAAATTTCCGCACTGTTTTGAAGACTACGGCTGTGCACCAGCACTTCAACTAATGGAGAGGAAAAAAAAAAAAATCTGGGATTTGATTGCAAATCTCTTCTAATGCAACCACAAGCTGCATTCCTGCTGCAAAGCTTTAGCTGCTGCTGGCATCCTTTGACAGTTGCCTTTTTCCACGTTCATTAGAGCATACTATATTCCCAGAAGAAAAGTTAAAGGAAAGAAATATGAAGGTCAAGTATTTTTCCAGGATCACTTTACTGGAAATTTTAGAGCTTCTGCTAGCTTCTAAAAAGGAAGATTATTGCTTTACACGTAAATGGAAAGGTTTTAAAACTGATTTTACTTTGAAATGTGACTTCAAAAGGATAACACTGTATTACATTCCAGAGGTACTTCAGAATCTGTTCTGTTGACTTGAGTGACACAGACAAGTTTCTTTTCCACTTGAGTTTGCGAAGTTAAGAAGGCTAAGGAAAAAACAGGCAACCTTACAAGGCATAAAAAGAATTATCAACTAACTTCTAGTTGTAGGACAAACACTGGAATCTATGTCCAGGCACAGAGAAAATGTTTCTATTAGTCATGGAAATGTCCCGGTACATTTAGTATTGGTTGCTTCCAGACAGCATGCATTTGCTGTCTAGGTGATGGGTGCCTGTATTCCACAGAAGTCCCTACAGAGGTAAAACTGAAGCAGACCAAATCTCGTTGCTGGCAATCACCCACAAAGATTTCAGACTGAAGCAGATTTAGTGACCCAATCTTATCTGTGAATGTTGTATTGAGAAATGAAAGTGCGGAAAGTATTTAAGGGAATTGCACTCAGAAATAAAAGGATATGAAACCCATTAAACTCCAAATTAATTGGATCACTGTTCAAATACAAGAATATTGTCAGACAGCTTCATTTAAACACCAATAAATGTTTTTCTTAAATACCTATTTTGGGTTGTGAAAATGAAGCCAATATACTTGGCACTTGTGATTTTTTGCTTGCATCACTATGAGGCATTCTTACGAAAATGCTCACAGAAAAGTATTTAAAAATCACATCCCCATATTGCGTGTGCCCTTTTTAATGAAAATTTTAACTTGTATCAAACACTTTGCAGTCTTGAGTTAACCTTGAAATACTTTTAACAGCGCAAGCTGAGATCATCAGATAAATACAGAATTGAGGGGAGAATTTGTGACTGAGCTGTAGAGTGACAACCACAGGCTTAATCTTTGTGAAAACGTGCTCTGCGTGAACAATGTATCTCACATGTTGAAGCAAAAGGTAGCTTACAGAGAGCCAAAGGAGAGAGTTTCAGTTATCCCCTTCAGGTTTCCGGTTCACCTAATTTGCCACATTTTTTGATGTTTCCAGAATAGATAACTGGGATTCCTGCCTTGAGGGATAAGGGAACGCCATTTTCCCATCTTTTAAGAGCCAGTGCAGGTGCAAGAGACGGGAACTGTAGCAACGTGCAAAGGATGATTAAAGAAAATGCCTGAAACGATCTCAAAGTTGTACAAACCACTACTCAGAGACGATTCTCACAGCTATTTTCAGATTTTGCATTATTACATATTCATAGCCACCAGCAAAAACTAGGAGGTATTATTACTCTGCATCATCCCAAACCAAGGCTGCTTTTCTTACCCATGTCAGAAAGGATTACAGTAAGCAGTTTCCCAGTAGCCTTTAGTATCATTGCCTAGCCTGTATTCAGTTAACAAGATTTTCCTCAGCCATAAGGTGGGATACAAATTCTTCTGATTGTAGAAGGTGGTTCCCACATCCTAATACTCTTCCTTGACCCAAATTCTTGAAGTACATTATTTTCCTCATTTCTTTAATTTTTTTGTCACTTCTTTACAAAAGAAATGTAAGGAGTATACATTTTTCTACTTGGAAAATCATTCTAGAGGCTTACATAATTTTCCTAAGATCTCATTTGCCGTGGCCCCTCAATACTCATCAGTTATGTAGTCTGGAAGGAAGAAGAGGAGCCAAAATTCTGCAGGAGTGAAATCAGGGTATTCATGCAGCGGGTGAGAATGACTACGAAGTGTGTTCCTCAGTCCCAAGTAGTTATTACCATACCATCCACCCAAGTGATATAACAATGGAGCTCTGTTAAAATGTGCGGTGACCTACTGACTGAATACAGGAGTCAAGAAACATCTGCTCTACTCCTATTTTGAAATGAAAGATAATGTGACAATAAAAGCTATATGATTTAATGTGAGCTCAGTTAAACCTCACCATATTGACTGCCTTTCCCCTCCTTCCCCCAGTGAGGCTACATAAGTGAATCAACAGAGCAGACAGATGTACAAGTACTTGAGAAATGCACAAATACAAGCCCAATATCCTAAACAGTACTGGAATTTTAGGCATTGATTACTGTCCACGGTAATACTATAAACCTATAAATCTGACCTTTTCTATATACGTTGGTCCCGCACGCTACTCAGTTAACACCAGACAGGAAGAGGAGCTATTCAAGCGAACGGCCTCTTCCAGGGGTTTTTTATTCAATGCAGGATAATAGAGTTTTATATTACAGGTGAATCTCACCTGATAGATAATCCAGAGATGGAAGAACAGAGAACTTTTTAATCACAGTGAGAGCTGAAAGAACAGATTCTTTATAGCTAGTTTTGCACGCAGAATTCAAGGTCCTTACAATCCACAGGAAATTCAGAAATTAATCCCATTTGAACCTTGACCATACTGGTGAATAAACTGATTTTTTTTGTCGTCGTCGTTCTGTTGAACTTCATGTGAACTTATTAATTGCTGGACTATATCGTCCCACTGAGTTATTACATTTACACTGTTAATAGGTTCTATTAACGTCTGAGTTCATCTTCAGGTCATGAGTCATTAACGGAGGCATGGTTTGCATTGTGGCCTATTTTTCATGAAAGGCTTATTAAGAAAGACAGAGACTATCAATGTTAATGCCATTTACTTTTCAAGAATCTAATGAGGTCATTAGTTTCCATGTTTAATTGAAGTGCCAAATGCAAGCATAGAAGATAAAAATGCAGTTGACCTCATCTTTATTTCAGTTCTACAGGAATATGTTACGCTAGCCCTCTCTCCTGCCTATTTTTGGATGCGTATGTTTTTGCAGGAAATGAAGCAGGCATTCCTGCGCTCATCAGTGATACGAGACCCATGCCTCAGAGTACCTCTAAAACAACCAAATGTGTGTTTCAGACTAAGTGCCTGTTCTCCTTCGCTTAGATGACACTGGAAGCTTCTAGTGCCTGAAACCAGATGGTTTCAATAGATTACGTAATTTTTGTTATTTCTGCAGAACAAGCTCTTACAATATTATACTCATTCTGAATACACAGCATATGAAATTACTGTAAACCTTGTAAGTACGCTTCACATTTTCTGCATAAAAGGGAATCGCCAGATTCTCAGAGGGAAGGTACAAACATTATTTTCCATGTAAATTAAATTTCTCTTGACCAAAAGCTTGTGAATTGCTACGAAGATTAGCTACCTGCCCCAACTGCCTGTCTTCATGAGCAACACTACCTAAAGACAAGTACAATGTTTTATTGCTCATCTTGTTGCAAGCTGACTTTCATCTTGCAATGAGGTACATTGTTTTATATACAGTTCCTTTTTCTCCCTTTAGGCAAGATAAAAATCTATGAATTTTACAATGTTTTTATTATACACCAAACTTTCTTACTACAGAACTTCTCACTATAAAGCCAGCTCTGATATTGTATCAAACCAGTGTAATGTAGCTATGTAGCACAAAGTACAGACAGCCCTAGGATACAAGCTGTAATGTGAGATAAAATGATTCAGATCTGAGAGATACAATACGTGGGATTTTGTGTTGTAAATTCCTGGCTGAAGAGAAGTTTCTCAAAACTTGTATTGCTCATTCACATTTAGCAGGTATCCATCATAGACTGTAGATGAAATTACAATGAGAACATTTATATTTCTGTATGCACCTAATGAAATCTAAATATAGACTGTTCTTCATTCAGATTCTGTCATACACCCAAAACATTTAATAACGCAGTCTGATGCCTCCAGGGTAAGGGAGAATGCAAATAACATTTTGTTTCCTGCTTCACAGATACTTTCACCTCTAGATATTTGTTCCAGAAGGATACTAATCATAGGAAATGACCTAAAAATAATGAGTGTTTACAGTTATACATACTAAATAAAAAGAACTAAATGTTGATGGCCAAGTAGTTTTATATATATGTTTTAGGAAGTCTGAAAATGCAAAATCAGGCATTTTTTTTTCCCTGAACAGTAATGAAAGACACTCTCATAAACTGAAATCAGCCCATAATAGGCTACGAGCAACTGTTGTCTTTGCTGAAAAGATTGAATTACGCACCTTTTTATAAACAAGTTGTATTAACCAGCTCCAAACTATTTTTTAAAACTGAAACTAGGTATAAACTGTTAATTAAAAAAAAAAAAAAAAAAAAAAAAAAAAAAAAAAAAATCAACTTTCCTACAAGCATCATTTTGATCTCAGACAAGATATTAATCTGGTTGGTGAGTTACCACTTCCAAATCCAGGTCAAGGCTAACTCTGAAAATTCAAAGACAACATAGGCCAATGGCAAAAGGCAAAATGCCATAGAAAACCGCTCAAACAAAACACATCAAAAAAGACTTCTAGAAAAGGTAGAACACATATTAAATAAGGTGGAGTGACCAAAAGGCAAATTAGGAAAGACCCAATTTAAATTACAAACTTAAAGCTTTGTGATGAGTCCATTAACCTCCTCCTGCTCAATGTGCACCTCAGTCTTTAGAAACGAATGCTGGCCAGCCCTTCACAACTTAGGCAACAAATGGGAACAAGCCAATATGAAGAGATATTGCACAACCTCATATTTGAAAGCTCGCACAAAATATTATTAACAGTAGTACCAGCAAAAGCCAACAGGAAGAATGGCTAGCCTGACTTCTTAGAATGAGACAAGAAAGGCGCCAATTTGGACATGCAAACTGCACATCTGAAACAGCTTACAGTGTTTCCACATTCTCAGAGTATGTTGTAATTCAGGGTGCTTGTGCCACACAACCTTGTAGATCTGAATAAGCAACAGCTTGCAGTAAATTCGAAACAAACTCATTCCAAGAGTAAGATGTTTTCCCACAGATACAAGCAACAGGCTTCCAAGAGTTCTAGCATCCCATGATGCGTGGCTGAAAAGTTTGTAACTAACTGCCAAAATGATCACACACTAAAAGAGAAAAAAAACCCTTACAGTTAAACACCAATAAAAAGGAACATAATTTACCTCGTATTTGTTTGCAAAAATCCAAAGACTATCTTCTATTTGCTTGGAATGACTGTTTCAGAGTTAAACGATTTTATATACATATGCATACATATATATATATGTATTTATAAAGATCTATAGTGACATTAACCGTGAGCATGATATTTATGATAGCAGACTGTAGTATTTACAGCAATACAATTATATAGTGATATACAACTAAAATGCACATTAAAATGTTTAGTTTTACTAGTCAGTTCTACAAAGCCATACAAATAGGACTGACTGAAAAGTGTATTTATATCATTAATGAGTAAGAAAACAGTTTACTTAATTACCACTGTGATTCTGGTATGGGACTCCTAAAGGACAGTAAAACTCGCATAATTTTTCATTAATGTCAATGCATAGGAGAAAGAAACGACTTTGGCTCAGCTCGCAGGACTTCTGATCAGGAAGAACGCCTTTGATAGGTAAAATGAGCACATAGAGGAATCAGCAATCGACAATTTAACATTTTCTTTAAGGGTAGACCAGCACTGTAAATGCAGCAGGCAACAGCTTACAAGGAAGCACTTGAGATAATTACTCCTAAACATCCTCAGGTATTTTTCAAACCTCATTATCTGATTTAGATGGTTTAGACCTTTTAAAATAGGAAAATAATATATGTAAACACAGCACATTATCAGATGAAAGGTTTAGGGTTTATTATTTTTTTCAAAAGAAGGTTTTTGTTGGTTTACAAGTTTCTGTTTACTTTTTTAAAATTGAGACAGTTCATTTTGAAATTAAGCTTTAAAATTAAAAAAATTTTTTTTACATTATGGTTCATATGGCAAAAAATATGAGACTCAAAACCTCACATATTAAAAATCCTAATTGAAAACCCCAATAAAATTTCACCACTAGGATATATTTCAAACACGTTCTTGCAATCGTGTTCAAAGTATTGAAGAAGTTACTGCTTCGCTGCTTGCTTTTGCCACGTTCAGCAGATGAGATACATAATCATACAAAGTATTCTTAATATACTTTGAGGGTAAGAAACTCAGATGCTTTAGATAACCAGAGAGGTTATTCAGGCAGATTACAACATCTCACGTGATCAGTTAAGAGTCTCAGCTGAAGGAATGGTAACTGGAAGTTGAGAAAACAGTACTGCTGTAATGCAGTCCCCAAAATGCTTCATTGCTCTTACAATACCTATTGTGAAATTATTTCAAAAACAGTTGCAAAGATGAAACAATTTCTTAGAATATTTGTCAAATGTTAAAGAGCCCCCACCCCATCCCTGCCTCACTAAATCATTAACACAGGTACACCAACAGTGTATGGGCAACAGTATCTGAACCAAAGATTTCAATTCCTAATTTCAATTCCAGCATTACAGTATGTTACTAAAAGCAAATTACAGCAAGAACAAACAGAAAACTAACCTTCCACCATCAAAAAGGATACTACCAACACATTATGTTATGCTTGCTTTTTAGCCTTTTAAAAAAAAACCCAAAACACACAACAAACAAACACAACTAGGTAATTATTTTGCTGTGTGATGTCTTGAAGAGATTAAGCATCTTTGCTGCCAATCATCCAAGATGAAGCTAATTTTTAAGTTCTACCAGAAAATGCAACTTACTCTAGGACGGAATGAGTTGCAGCCTGTGGATGGTAACGGTACAGCAGGAGGCAATGGTTTACTCGAAAGACTTCACCGCCCTTTTGGATATGTTTATAAAAAAACAACAGATCTTCTGGAATACCCTGGAAGAGAAGCAGTTATTTCAAACCAGTATTCATAGTTACATCTGAAGCCACTTTTTTTTTTTTTGCCAAATGAATAAGGTTTAACATCATTTTCTTCCTATTATTTCTGTATGTCTCCATGAAGTTATCTAATGGCTCATTAAATAAACTTATCTGTAGAAAAGATAAAGCTGTTAAGAAAGCAAGCAGTGCTATTTAAAAATGAAGTACAGCTGACCACAAGGACAGAGGTGGAAAAATAAACATCATCTCATTTTGACAGGGATATAAACCTTGGTACAGGTTAGTCCCAAAAGAGAGAAACCCAGCTGCTGAACAGTTCATGATGCCTGAAGTGCCATGTAACCAAATAGGTTACTGAAAGGGATCAGTGACTTCAGAAGAGTGTTTTTTCATTTTACTAGCATTATCTTTCTTTCTTTGGTTACCATACAAATACATATACTGGTCTCTACTTCGGAAAGGTGAATCAGGCCCCATAATAAGAGACCTTAATAAAAACAACCTCAGAAAGAGGCAACGTCTGAAAACAAAACTGGGTTTTTTTTCTTGCGACTTATTTCCACGGTACATTCTTCTTAATGGGATTGCAAGCAATACTGCTGAAACACTGCAAGAAAAACATCTCCTAGAATTGTGGATCTATCGGGCTCTAGGAGATATCAGAGATTTCATGATCATATGCAACATTTCCCACCTAAAAAATCAGAAAATCTTCATGCCAGAGATACAGTGTCAGAAGGGCAATCGTATGGCACATAGTATTCAACTACACGTCATAGCATATGAAAGCATAAGCCCACCTTTAAAGATATAGCCCTATACTGAAGGTAAAAAAGTTGCATCTATTTACTTTTTACAATGGTGCAACTTCTTGAAATATGGCTAGAACATTTAATTTTTCTATGGTTAAATACAGATTTTTCTTTCCGTCAACCCAGTGTTTAAAAGGTCACATGATTTTATCAGGCTAAAAATCTCAGATATATAAAACCAGGTGGGCCAAATAAAACATTTAAGTTTAGCATCAATGAAAAAGCTGAAAGATAACATGACAAAGTTGAGAAGGAAAAGTGAAAGAAGGGAAAGATATTGAAATACATTTCTTTCTGTAGACAGATTTTTCTTTCCGTCAACCCAGTGTTTAAAAGGTCACATGATTTTATCAGGCTAAAAATCTCAGATATATAAAACCAGGTGGGCCAAATAAAACATTTAAGTTTAGCATCAATGAAAAAGCTGAAAGATAACATGACAAAGTTGAGAAGGAAAAGTGAAAGAAGGGAAAGATATTGAAATACATTTCTTTCTGTAGGCAATATCACATACATGAATAACAGGGGCATAAACCTCAACCTCAACTTTACCCTATTTCAACACAGAAAAATAATAAGAGCGCAAGTTAAAAAGAAAAATAAATTTGATTTTTTCCCATTACGACAGCTTCTGAGTTTCTTCCGTAATTAAGAAAAGGAGATTCTCTAATTAAAGTGCTGGACACAAAATCCCTCTGTGGTTTCTTCTGGCCTTCTAGTTACAAGAGCAACACAGTTCAGTGACTGTTTCCGATACCCACCAGACTGAGCAGCCGAGGGGGTGTGGGAAGGGGAAGAGAAATGAGACAAAAAAAAGCTTTGAACCTTGGAAAACAAATCCAAAACACTCAACTGAACATCTGTATCTTGGAAGAAATCAGAACCGAATCAAGCTCTGTACTTTGCAGCTCCAGACTTCACTATATGATAGGTTGATTAAGACACTGAATTGGGCCACACTCCCAGATTCTGAATAAAATGGATTTGGATCTGACTGCTTGCTTAGGGCAGCGTATCTGTAGCTATTGTTTGTCTTTGTAGATATTTTTCTTACTTCCAGTTTAAGAGCTGTGATGCAGAAGAAAACTTTCAGAGAACTTCATACAATTTATGCTTTATATGAACCTACTTTGAAAGCCACAAAAGAAATCTGTGGGAAGTTGGAGTAGCAGACAGCAACCATAGTCATCAAGAATGTAAGAAAAACACAAACTCAAATTCTTTCAATTTATCTTGTAGCCCTTTCTATCTTTTTCTTATTCTGGACTTTAATGGAACTACTGAGAGTCAGCAGCAAAATTCAAACCTTTTTCTTTTTTCCAGTCACACACTAGACTCTGTCAGGCAGGGCACAAATTTTGTAGCACATATCAGCTTACTGCATAGTCATATTTTGATTCAGATATATGATTACATCACATATGTATCTGCAATTCATTTTCTTCTGGATAAGCTTTTACATTATTCAAGATAACTGTTAATACGTATATTAAAAAAGAGAGTTACTGCAAAAGTAAAAGGATCTTTCAAAAAGCTGTTTGGTTCTGAGCGGTCTTTTGCTTTACTTTAATGGGCAGAAATACTTTGAAATAAAGTACACTCACCCCGAGGAAGGAGCAGGTGCCTTGTATTGCTCAGCAGCGGCCTCTCACATTACAAAGGAGCGGCACTGCCATGCATTTTTCAGGGGAGGAAAGATGTTGACTGTGTTATAGATCCTGCAGGGATGGGACTTCCTA